TTGTGGTGACTTAACTTTACTTAACTTTACTGTTTAACAGAAGATTAAAAAAACCATGTGTTTCGTTTTGTCACGATCAATTTAATGCAGTCATATATTTTGTATTAAATGTGTATTTACTAGAAAAGAACAATAATTATTTTATTTAAACAATTCGTTTTTGTAACGATATGAAAAATGTGAGAGAGTAGTCGTTTTACAAAAAAAAATAACACATCTTTATGTCTTATCAGTGTCCGTGCTAATCTTAAAATTATTCTAAATTTATGAACGAATATAATGATTCCACTGTACAAATAAAAAATATAACTAACCGATGAAAATGAAACTGGTATGTCCATCATTGATATAGAAAAATAAAAATATATATTGCCTTGTCGAACAATGACATACTGCGTTGAAATTTATAGGTATGGATTAAGCTTAAGACTGGCACCTCGTTCGTCGCGATGATTTATGTAGGACCCGTGCATTTTTGAATTATTCATTTTGACAATGGAAAGTAATAATAGTTATTAATCTAATCTGTATAGCATTCACCGATTGTATATTAATTTATTTTTTTCCTTCTTGACTTCGACTCAGAATATCATGATATTTATTTTATAGTGTACTCGTATAATAATCACGGTCCACGCATGGTACTCGAACTATGGGTTACATCAGGAGCAGCAACCTTTTTACTTACACAAATCATATTTTTAATTAGTTTTTCATTGAGAGTCGTATATAAAATTAAAATATACGTGACTAAAAATACAATTTTAACAAATAATATTAGTATGTATATTTAAGGAAATCAACAATCATATTATAAGTTTTACAGTGTGACGTTGACCTTATTAATTAATTTTAAATATAATACACTAGAAAAGAATATATATAATAATATTATATATGTTATGGTCATAAAAGATTATATTTCATGAGAACTTGAGAATAATGTAAAATAAGTCCATACCTTAATATTCGTAAAAATGTAATTGTCATGATTCGATTTTATTTATTACAATTTAAGATATAAAATTAATATTTTAAACACCATGATATATAGTAGGTTACGGGTCACCAATTCATAAGATTTATAATATTACTACTATAACTAGAACCTATTTTTTGTGTTGCGAAAAAATCTTGTAAAATTATATTTTAATTTATGAAATAAATGGCGTTTTGCAAAGTAACAGATATTAAAATAGTAGATTCGTTCCTCAGCTAATACAATATAATATAATGCTTAAATCACACAATTTAACTAAATTATTGTAAGTAAGTATTTAATGATTACCTTCCACTTACCTCCAGTAACACCAATTAATTTTATTTTAAGCACATTTAAATCGAAGATGGGCAATTTATTCCTTTCGTGGACTGCGATTTTCGGAAACTTCCAGTAACTTATTAATTTATAAATTCTAAATATTAAAATGTATAAAGTAGTTTTATTATTTTTTCAAGCCTATATCATCCGTATAATATAAATATTTTTCTTTTCATATTTTCACATTGTATACAATGTGTTACAAATGATGTAAATTTTTACATTCTAAAACAAAAAAAATAAAAACCTATGTTATAAAATACGTTATATACGTTATATATAACGGAAAAACACTAATATTATGAATGCGAATTAATATAAAAGAATAAGCAAATTGTCTTTAGTAAATAATACCTCTTAAATAACTATATTGCTGAGGAAATTAGATACTTATTGATTTGTATGTTTTATAAGCAGCTACATTTGATTTTATTCGATTCCAAAATTAAATTATCCTATTTATTTATTTTTTGCTTTTTAAATATTTAAATTAAAAAATTATAATATACTAATAATTATTAGTTTGATATGGTAATTTGTAAAATAAATAAAATATCATTGGTACAATATATGTTTAACATTTTATTAGTTATTTTACTTATTTTTTATTTCATTAATCTTTTAAAATTTCTTCATATAGATGTACATCTTAAAAATATTAAATATACATACATCGAATACAATAAGGATGCTAGTGATAATACTTGGTTAAAATTTCAATCAATGAGTTTATAATATCGTGGACATTGTATAGCTCTACTTTTATTGAAAACTGTAACTATAGATAGGTAAAATATAAAAAGCTTATGACGTTCTAATGACTTTATAATTCAGTTTTAAAATTATATCTAAGATTTTGTTTTTGATAGAGTATAGATAATTAATTTTTAAAACTTTATCTTGTTTCTCTTTAAATATATTAAGTAAACAAAGTGTATTCACATAAAATTAAAGAAATTCGGAAGAGGATTATGGATATAATCCATAATTAATCAATATATAAAAAAGAAATGAGATTCTATGGGTCGTCAACATGTATCAATCTCAAAGGTAAGACGATGAGAAATTCAACAGATGTGTTTCATGAAAAATGTATATTATGTGAATATATGTGACCAATTTCCATAAAAAATTAAGCCTTACTATTTATTCTTTCAACTTATTATTAATATTCGTATTACTTAATACAGACACTTGTTTCTAGAATATTAATTTAAACAATAATAAATATATTTTTGATTGGTTCTGATAATCAAACAATTATTACTATAATTTCTAGTATTTTATTAAAAAAAATATATTGAAACCTGTTTTTAATATTGTGTCAGTAAAAATTTACATTTATAACTTGGTATCACTAATAAAATGAAAATCGGTTGAGTGATTCGAGTGGGAACCATTCATTATAGCCTATAACCATCTATCAACAGTACATAAAGATTTTTTCTTAATAAGCTATAATAAATAACGTTAATAGTAAGTATACTAATGGTTCTTATGGTGTAACAGATTGTGTATAATAATTTATAAAAACTAATAAATCTCTAGACCGATTTCTTTTTAGGCATCAGGAGATATTTTCAGGGAGAGTATTAGAGAAAAAAATGTTGCGAATTAATTGATTTAATTTATTAATTATTGGTTTGGAACGGGAAATAAAATTTTAGGTTTGCAGCTATTAAGAAAATACATTGTGTAAGTAAAAAAGTATTTATAATAATAATTCGATCATTGATACAAACCACTGAGACACACAGAGTATCAGTAATAAGCTTAAATGCACCTGTATGATTGCATGCCCAATATCTTTGAAGACTTTGTAGTGGTCTAAATTCTAGAAAGTTTCTCATATTTAGACTTTGTTCGATCAAACGGGTCTAGTTATAGTTTTGATCGTTTTAGATTTAGGTCAAATCATACTTTTGTAAATATTTAAAATCTTAATATATTATAATGATTATATTGATAATTTAAGTGAGAAAAGGCTGTTGATTCTCGAAGTAGCAAAATATCTTTTAACTGAAACTAAAATTAATTAAATGAGAATATTTGTTCACATTTTCAATTCAAGCTAGTTTTATATTTTTCCAATATTTTAAGCCCAAGTTTTTATTTGATTTAAGATTGAATTTGTAGCATTAATTAACACGGATTCTTTTTTCAAGCTGAAATTCAGTATCGGCCGTAAATTATGTAATAACGGTTTGTTTTAGGTACACCAAAGAAGTATATATTAAAAAATGTTGTCATTGCTTTGGAGAATTTAAACTTTGATTGGATATTAATTTGCTGTGTTTAAATTATGCATGTAACAAACATTTGAGCTCTAAATACAATTAAATAATTTTATTTCCAATAAAACGTCTAAAAAGACGTAGTAAAATTAATTGGTTTTTTACTTAAAATGCTATGCTTATTCTGCTATGAAAACTGTTTAGAGATTTGTGTTGTGATTTAACGGTTTTAGTGACAGTTAAATTAAAGTTGTTAGAAAATATTTCTTTAATATATTTAATTAATTTTGAGATATTTTTTATAAATAAGAGATTATTTGAACAATTAAGGAAAATTACTCAAAGGCTTTATAGGACCATAAAGTTCTGAAATACGAGTACTACTGCTTTTTTTTTTTCATTGATTATTTCTATACATGACATTCAACTAATAAATATTCGATTTATGATAAAAAATATAATATTAGGAACTCGTATCATATTTTATGAATAAATTGCAAGACCTTAGGTTGGTCGAACCAACACAGTTGGGTAAGATACAGAGAACGATAAATTTTATTGCTATATTGATGTCTTAAACTTAAAACCAAAGTACCATTGCTCTTAAAAAAACGATTCTGAGTGATAGAGATCATGTAGTGAATCAATATGTTTTTCTAAGGCGTTTTGATTCCATAGAAGAAATATATTTCTTAACAATGTTAGGCTCGTGAAACATATTTGTGACTTTCTAGTAAATTTGAACTACAGTGAAAAATATAGTAGATTTTCATGAGTTTTATTGTTTCATCTAAATTTAATATTCAAATACTTGAATATATTTTTTTAAATCAATTTTTTTTCATCAATCAGTAATAAATATAGTATGCACAAGGAACTTTATATTCTATTTTCAACATGTTTAGTAAACCAACATTATTTTAACGACTTTTCGAAAAAAAGTTAACAAATATAAACATTTAAATTTTCTATAAAAAGCTCAAAAGAATGTTTAATAACTATTAAGCTTAGTTATTGAAAAAATAAATATTCTATAGTAAATATTATAACATTAAGGATGAAAAATTTGATGATTAGCCATTGCATGTTTTTTTCAAATTTATGGAAACTAAATATACAAATGCTCTAATTTCAAATAGGAAACACTTAACATATGATAAAGTATTCGTATGTATTATAAATTAATTAATAATTTTCACAAACTTATATTATAGCAAATGATAAAATTATCTCTGATTTTTTTATAACGATGTATTGCTTGGATATGTATTAAAATTAATACTGGTTGATACGTTGAAAAGATGAATAATCTTTCGATAGAATATTATGTATTAACAATCATTTGATATACAACAGCAGACAACAACAAAAATGTATCAAATATGTTGAGAGGTATTTCAGTCAGTAGATAGTGTTCAACTTGAAGAACATGCGCGACACCCCTTTGAGGTTTTGCGCCCGTTTGGTGCTTATAAAACGTCTCATCTATTCATTTTGTTTTACTTTTACACTAAACTCAGCCGCCGACTATCCATTAAAGGTACGTACACTGCTCAAGCGTATATTAAAATAATTGATACATTATTATTAAATAAATACAATAAGTACAATCATTCGAATCATTCTTTTGGTATATTTTAGATTTCTCTTTAATTGTTAATGCAATACTTTTTTTATCAATTATTTGTATATAATTTATGTATTTTGTACACCTTATAATTACACTTCTAATTTATTATACAACCTACTGATAAAAAATGTACTCATAACTGATTTGGTTTTCTGAGAGACATTGAAAATTAAAATTAATATTTACGATTATTTTAGTTAAAAATTAAAATTATTTTTATTTATTTTTTGTAATTTGCTGGTTTAAGTGTTTTTGTTTTCGTTTTATTAATTACTAATTATTGTAGTGGCATTAGAGTTTCCATTCATTTAATCTAATATCATAAATAGTATGCTATTAGTTTAAACATGAATTTAGCTCTCAATAAATTTCAATATATTTATTAAACTTAGAAAAAACCATACACATTAAATAAAATTGACGTATAATCAATGTGTATAAATTGTTTTAGATAAAAAAATGTATATGTTTATTTTATATTTGATGTTAAATATAGCAAATATTATTTATAAGAGAAAAAATAAATACTCAATTTTTAATTACAACCAGTTAATAATTTCAATCAATAATATTTCCAAAATATATACATTTTCTATTCTTTAAAATATATTCGATTTTCAAATTTATAACTATTTCACATATCAATTACAACTTCTAATGTTCATATTTTTGTATAACATTATTCTAAAAAAAAATTAAATTGAAAACACGATATTTTTTAAATAATGTTCTACCAGTTCTGTCATACAGATATTTTCTAAAATTATATTGCCATGTAACTATTATTATTAGAAAATATAAATAATAAATACAGAATTATCAAAAAAAAATAAATACATTCGCTTAAAGCTTATACATTTTTTAGTTGATTTGAAAGTCTACAATAAAAAACATATTTAGAATATTTAAAAGAATGCATTCAAAAACTATAATTTTATTAATTATTACTTCACTGAGTCATTGATTTATTTACGATTTGACATAAAATACTGATAAATAATAGCTAAAGGTCTAACAAATTAACATTTAAAATATGTATATATAAGTAATATACAAATATATATTATTATTTTATACTAAATAGATACTTCGTAATATTTTTACAACTAATGACAGTAGAAACTCGAATATATAACATTCATGATAAGTTAAACACTTCCTTTTTCACTTTTTAAAGGGGAATTTTTTTTATATCAACTGTATAAAAGTAGTCTTTGATATTGAGAGTTGTCTATTAATAAAAGTTTCGTTATTATTAAGAATACTTGTATTATAAATATTGACAACAGTTTATCATTAGAGAGGAAACGTTTTAGTATTGACACACTTCTATTTAAATTAATTTTAAATTAATGGTAATTTTTTAACTGTTGCAAGTACTTAAAAATACGTTAAATATATAATACCAGACGTTTATTTCTAAATGTGTTAAAAATTAATGGAAAAAATAAAACGTAAATATCAAAAAATTTTATTTAATAGAACCATATTTTTATAACTGTTTTTTTAATATAAAATTTGAAATAATTATTATTATTATTAAGTCTCTATATCTCCCTACCAATTTTACTGTAATGTTCTTATTGATGTTGAGATACTGACCAAGAGCATCGTGCAAAATTGTCTTTCTGATTTTTAACGATGGCACTTTTTATATATTTTTAAATAACGAGAATTAAATTCAGTATGTTTTTACAGAGAAAATTAGAAAATAGTTTTTCACAATGGAAACTATAATTGACGGTCTGCAACATATACTCGTGTATTAGAGTTCTTGCGAGCTAGGGATATATTAATTTATCGAATATACACTATTTTTGATACGATATACTTTCGAAAATGAATCTTACTTCAGCCTCAAGAGACCGTGTATTTTTCTCACCTCAAAATAGCTCTTCTTAATTTAGTTTATGTTTTGCTCATAAAATGCTACAACATAATGAAAATAATTAAATTATGAAGTATAGTTCCGGCTATTTAAATTGTACACAATATTATATAATACCCATAAATTAGGTGTCTATAGTATGTTAATATTTTAAATAAATTATTTAATTTGTATTTTTAATATTTAGCTTTTTTTTTTTTTTTTTGATAAATTTTGTAATACAGAAAATCAAGTTTAATTAATCCTAGTTATTTTTAAAACATTTCAATTCATTCAACATTAATTGTACTTTTTCCTTTTACATTATAATTGTAATTGCTGCAATTTAAGGATAGATAAAATCATATGTTTATTTTTAGTTTTAATTAAGTATTTAACTTTAAATTTTTGGCTACATCTAAATTGCATTTAAAAAAAAAAAAAATGTCTGAATCTCATGCCACGTCTTAGAGGAGCCTGTCCGAATTGTATTCCATGTCTTAGAGGGGTACGCTGTGTACCCACAATTTTATTTATTATGCTTGTATATGCACATCTTAAACATTATTTTGACTTAACTTTAACTATGATATGGTTGTTACAACTGATTAGTGTCTAGATTAAAATATTTTTCTATATCCGAGTAAATATTTTATTATATTAATCTGAAATAATATTAAGATAAGAAATAGCATGTAATTCGGACAGACCCCTCTACCAAGTGGCATGAAATTTCGACATTCTAATTTATGTTTATTTTTTTTGCATGCAATTTAGATGCACCGTCATTTTTAATAATATTCCACCAACGTTTAATGTATAATTTACAAAAGCTAATTAATATCTGTGTTTTTATGAAACTGAATACATATATTGTAATTAATAACAACATATTTATTTTAATAAAATACGTTATTTTGGATGATTTTATACTTAAAGATTTATTATTTTATTTTTAATTAATATTTGAGTTTCAATATACATTTCAATATATTTCGGTGTTATGAATAATAATTTGATTTATTTATAATTTATTGCTAAAACTCCATGTAATTTTACCGGTAGGAGAGACATTTAATTTGATTTAATTATTCAAATAGTTCCTTCTGTTTCTGTGGTAAAAGTTTAAAACATTTTATTATTTTATTTCATTAATATTATATGATATGTATAACTTGCAGAGTACAAGAAAGTTTTTAAATTATAATATATTTTATTTATGACTTAAGGTAATGATTATTTATTACATTTGTCAGTTTACTTCAATTAAATACGATAATCACTAGAAGCTTTTATTTTGAAATCAAAATAAAGATTACTAATTTGTACAAGAAATTGGAAACTTTATTGTTTGTAACAAAACCTTAACGTAAAACAACTCAGTAACATTTTAATGAACTGGGAAAACTCGATTCATTTGTTTGTTAAATTAAAAACACAAAGGTTAACTATCAAATTTCATTTTAATTTATTATACTTTCATTCATATTAATAACAATTCAAACTTAGGATTAATATTTTTAACTTTAAATAAATAAATCAAATGACGAAAAAATAATACGATTAAATTATTTATGCGATTTTTCGTAGAATGTTGAAAACAGAACCAATATATTACTGTATATACCTTTTAGGCTTTCAATTCTTTGTGGTCAATTTCTTATTTTTATATATTTTTTTTAAAAATGTATGTGCCTTTATTTAAAATAACACAACGATTTGAAAATTAAATGCTGATACAGAGTAAGGAGGTCCTATGGTTATTTCATTAGATTATATAATTTATCAGAATATGTTCTTAGATTCATATCATACACCATAATATTTACTCTTGGAATATAACTTATTGCTATATTATTGAATTTATATATATTGTAAAATATACCATCATATCTTCTATTATCTAAGTTTTGTTTTATATAGATTGTTTTATTTAGTGAAACAATTTCCAACGAACAATTTTTTAGTTTCACTATCAATGGACATTTCGAACACATTAATCATATTTAAATACGAACATTTTGATGAAGTCGTCCAGTTAAAACATTTATTTTTTATAGAATATATATAAATAAATTTTAATAAAAAAAAAAACTTAAATTAAAACATTACTTAACACTCATTAAGTAAGGCACATACATTAAAACTGAGCAAAATTTAGTTTAGATATGTAAAGTTATTCTAAATTTAAATAGACACTATTGCAAGTAAAAATGTTTCAAGTATAATACTTCTTTGTATTTATTTTTACTTACAATTTCATTATTTTATATTTGAAAGTCAATAAAAATAGGTACGGTCGAACAAAATAATTTCACACTTATTAATTTTAATATTGAGTAACGTAATTCGGAACACCTGCGGTTTATATTTTCTAGTTAAAGTAATGTTGTCTACTAGATGATTGGTTCTCCAACCAAGATTTATATTTAGATATTGATTTTACCAAAAAAAGATAAAACAAAATTACATAACTTAAAAACTCCACTGCATTGGACAAATATAATTTTTTACTAATATAACAAATATAATACCTCTACCTATGATCCGATTTTGTGTAATTACACCATTAAAAAATATAATGTAATTAGAAATATAATAATAGCTACGTGCATTTAACCAAATACATCACAGATTGTGTAAAACAAGCTAATCAATCTACTATGTAAAATTAAATAATACAAAAAATGGAACGTTTGAGTAAAATATTAGATTTATACTTTAATGGAAAATACTTCATGATTCTACGCGTTATTATTTTTGGTTCAACATTGTTATTAATTATTCAACAATTAAAATATATTAATTACGTGTATTTTTATAATAATACAATGATTAATTATATTGGACGAAAATATTATTATAAATTATCTACATTGGTTCACTGTTTATAAGCACGATTATAGATAGACTATAGTCGTGCTGTAAGTTAATTTCTAGATAATTCTTACCAATAATACAGTTCTTTCTTTCTTGTGGATAAAATAATAATGTAAGCCAAGTACGACTGGTACGAAAAAAACCAAAACTATAATCATCGTAGGTTCACAAATTCACACACATATCTAAACAGTATAACGTATGAATGATATTTTGTTAGAGTAAAATATTTAATTCTAAATAAATGCTAATAACATAAAATATATTTTTTGATTTTTAACTTATTATATTTAGCTTAAGTAAAGCTTTTATCCGCTGCATAAATACAATTCAAATGTACCACAACATATAAATGTGTGGGTGTATATTAAAATTATTTGCCTTGGGTTGTAAAATTATTTTACACTGCACAACTACATTAACAAACAAATAAACAAACCCACATGCAGGCATACACACACACACACGCTCACTCAAGCGTATCATCATCAAAACGATAACAATAGATCTCTTTTTAATAATAAAAGTATATAGGCTTAAGTAAAACTGTAAAATTGAAACTAAAAATTAGAATACTTAAACTTAAAATTAAATTTAAAAATAAATACAATAAAATTATTACAAATGAACAATATATGATGCATGTATCTGTATGTTTAGCAAATTAATTTTTAAATTGTATTCAATTATATTTTTTATGTTACATTTTTATTTCTGTCTAGTTGATATATTATATATTAACTAGTTAATTTGAATTACTCAAATGTATAACAACATTTATTATTCAATTTCTATTATAATTTTTACACTTGTAAAAGTTAAAATTTTGTAAGATATGAATTTATGTAATTACTTAAATTATATTTTAAACTTTTCAAATCTGAGTAAATATTTTATTTTTTCAAACCATTTAATAAATCACTAAAAATGCAGTGTATACAAAGCCTATTGTTTTGGTATAATTACAGACTATTATTTACTCGTAGTGTATGATTGAAAAACAATGACAACAAAGAATTTCGTGATTGTCCCTTTAAATTGTATAGTTCTCATTTTTATAATATGAGTCCTAGTGTTGCTTACTATAGTACATTTTCATGGACCAATTTAATAGTATTATCAAGTTGCACTTATAAAATAGATAACGAGGACATTTAATAAGATTAATTAAGAATTGTTGAGTAATTTTAACGAAATACAAATTCACAATCTTTGAATGAAATTAAAGTATTCAAATATAATATTAACAATTCATTCGCACTTAATTTTTACTTTGATCACTACATAGAATAAATAATTCATGGACTTTTTAAATAAAAAAAATTGAAAAAGTTCTTAATATTCAGAATTGAATTGTAAGAAAAATAGGAACTAATTTTAATAATGACTTAGCTAAACGTTTGAAGTATAATAAATGTATTGAGCACACTTTTATTAAAAACACATTTAATAAACATTTTTCTTTTGATTCTTTCATTTCAGCATCTTTAAAGTAATAAAAGCCTGATAGAAAAACATTGGTCATACTATAATGGTTATTGAATAATTTACTATTCCTCGATCTACAAACGACTGTTGATAATATACGAGTAGTAGTTTTGAGAAACAAAAGTTAATAATTAATAATTACCACATTTAGTTGATGGCCACATATATCGACTAAACTCCAACAAGCTTACCAATGCTTAAGTGTTCTCTTCCCAATAATAAATAGAAAATCAATTATTAGTAAAAAATGCTCGCTTATTATATATAAGCAAGTACTGAGACCCTTAATCTTATACGCATGTTCTATATGGGGCAGTTGCGCTAAAAGCCACGTAAACAAAATACAAATATTCCAAAATAAAAAACTTTGCATAATAACAGATGCTCCCTGGTTTATATGCAACCAAGCACTGCATAATAACTTGTAAATCCCCACTATTGACGAACATATAAACTACATAGCAAACAGATTCTTCCATTCATTTATGAACTCATATGGTGCAACGCTTTATAACTTAAATGTAAGTCCTCTAAATATTCGCCGTCTCAAGGGAGAAAGACCCCACGACCACAGAGTGCGATATCCACCATCAGTCACTCTTTAATTGGATACATCATGCCAGATAAACACCTAAATTAAACTTATTACTATTAATTTAATATCTTATTATTATATCGCAATTATTTTAAAGAAAAATAGAGAAAAAAGAAAAATTTGTAAAAAAAATTGTACATTATCAATAGGCTTAGATAGCTACTTAGCTACGTAGCTAAAAATGCCTTAATCTAAAAATAATAAAAAAAAAAAGTTATCTAATTTTCAATTGGCTAGATTTTGATGAGGGTCTCCTATTTAAATATTCAGATTGAGGTAGCTGTATACATTGGTTATTATTTTCCTACACTGTAAATCCACTTCGAATTTTAATGAATCCTTCGACGAATTACCTCTTGAAATGTGCATCGCTTTTATTTGAACTGATATAAATCCACCATGGATTTTAAGTACTCCAATAAGAAACTATTGCTTGACCAAATAATATAAATAAATATAGATTTTTAGTTTCAATTCGTTTTCAATGCAACAGATAGCATTGAAAAAAATCAGGAAAATGTTTCTAGTGCGTACAACTGCATAACTATTGTTCAATTCAAATACCAAGTACAATTTTATAGCATTTTTAGATATTTTATTTTAAAAACTACACAAAAAATATTAGAAACTCGATAATTTATGATATTGAATTAAGTATCATTGTTAAAATATGATTATATGTTTAATATTAATTTTAGTTTACAATAGTAGGTACTTGTGCTGTGCGTATACTAATTTAAAGTTGAACAAAAATTAAACTAGATTTTATATAAAAATTTCACATACTAACTACTATAGTTTTATAATTCAAAGAATAAAAATTATAATTATAAAAATCATAATTTCATATTATTCACTATGAATTCATAAAGGTAAATATGCTTAACAGCGCGTGCTATTGCAAAAATTGCATCATAATTATTATTAAACGGAGGTGTGGTTAACAATTGAAATCAGTATTAAAGAATGTTTACCATACAGGAAATCGGTAATCCCATTAATGTATGCCTTTAGCGTACAAAGGATTAAAAATGTAATATATGCAATGCGACAACGAGAACTGTTCAAAAATTAAAAGGATGTTTTACAAAATTTGCAGTTAATATTTTAATCTAGTTTTAGGGAAATCTCTAATATATTTTGTGTTCGTTTTTCCCGGCACGTCATATGAATACGAATATTTAATTAATGGGCAGAGGTCGAATCCCTCAAACATTTGTTTTTCTACTGCGAGGAGATTAATACACTTTAATTACGTATGCGTAACCATGTAAGAAAATTAAATATGTAAAATGCAAACTGAAAAAAGAAGAGGATTTAATAAACACGATAGTATTATTGGATATTACTTGTTTTGATATTTACCCGACTAACCCCCCAAGGTGTTCTAAAAATGAGATTAATGCTTATTAAGCATTGTTATTATTAGCTTGTAAACGAAATATAATATACTTGTAGTTCATTCATAAGATTTATTTTTACAATATAAAAACGATAAATTCAACTTTTTTTTAAAAAATAATTGTTTAAACAGAACATAATTTATTTAAAAACAAGATAATTATTTATAATCTGTAATGATTATAAATTTTTTTACTTTTTAAAACAAATACTATACAATTATTCCATCATACTTATATATTTAACTGGTTAATAAGATCATTTATAATAATTTATATTGATATAAATTATAATTTTATTAGTATATAAGATATTTAACATTCATTTTTAGTTGTATGTAATTTCTTAATTATCTACCTGTAATTAGCTATATTCAAATACATAATTAATAATAATGTATTCAGTTTATAATTGTGATTATCAAATTATATTATAATGACTTTCAGATAAACTTGAAAATGTCTACACCAATGAGAATCCTGTCTTATGAAATTATTTTGGTATTTACTATTTTAACTGGGTTATTACCAGTATTGACCAATGGCAATGTCATAGAACAGAGATCATTACAAAGAGAATTTGGAGATAACTCTCCCGAAATTATATCAATGAATGACAAAGACGAATTCCGTGAATATAATGGACCTGTTATTAATGATTATGGCATGCAAGCATTACAAACAAAGGTTTGTACTATTGAAACTTTATTAAATATGATCTAACATTTATAAAAATAGCATATTGTTATAATTACAATGTTAAGGAATATATGACTGAAAAATAAACAGTCTTGAAATTATGTGTTATATTCTATATATTATTTGTAGATAGTAATAATTTAAAACAAAATTTTTATAAGAATATAAAAAAATTGCAAAATCCTGTATCCTTTTTATCTTTTAGTATTAGATTCTGAGAAGATCCATTGTTTTTTATTATGTGTAGGTACATACATTTTCAGTTAGTGAAACTGCACCAAAGGTTTCGTGCAGCATCTCATTAGATCGGAAATTGGACCCAGAAGGTACTATAAAAGGATCATTTTTCGATTTTCTTTAAGCGTGAAGAAAACTGAAAAATAATTGAAAAATATCGAAATTCTTTAAAGCTGTACCTATGGTTTTTATTTGTACTTCTTTCTAAAGAAATGCGGAAATATCGTGAGCGTTAAGATGTAACATTTTAATACAATTGATTATTTCTATCACATTGTGACTGTTTTATCTATATGTGAAAAAATCTCATATATCTGGTAATAATTGCACTTTTTTTTTATGAGCACTTAATAATTTTTTTATATAAAATAAACAAGGCTCAGATTCGCTTTTCGAATGTAATGGGATACAATTATTGCTATGACTATAAAATGCACTCACAGTTTTATATCGTCGGACAGTGTTTGTTTTTTATTTGATTATGTGTAATTTAAGAACGATAAAATGAGCATTAGTAAATAAAATATTTTAATTAATTACTGACTCGCTTTGTGCTTAGTTACAAAAAAATTCTGAAAAATTATTACCTTTAATTGTTTTTAATTACAGAAATGCCACTGATTCAAATAAATATTTTCGCAAGGCAGTCGATCAGTTTTTAATTAAAATAAAAAGGAAAAAACAAAAAAGATACCATTAAAAAAATAATTTTTTATTCCAGAATTAACTTTTATGGAAAAATATGTTTTATACATTTAGAATTTGACGGTAGAAATATAATATTTATTTTTAAATTTAATTATTTAATTACAGTTTATTTAAAACAAATTTAAATAAATATAATAGAAAAACATTTTCTCGGAACAAGTATTCGTATTATTCAACGATGAAGCTTATGCTAAATAAACCCATACATAATTATATATTTTATACGAAACACTAGAATAATAATCGTAAATTACACTTACATAGAACGAATTAAAAATATAATATTAATATAAATATTAATATTAAAACGTATTTAACGTATTTTACGAGTATACGGAGTCATGGACGAAAAACTTACGATTAGATAAAGTTGATGCAGACTACCGCAACCACCAGAGGTCCGAAAGTCCGACGACCGATAAAAATATCATGGCACTTAAAAAGTTCTACGCGGCAAGAGCTATTTGGGTCAGACAATTTTCCGTAAATACAAACTAACTTTTTACTCCTTGTCATCAATATTACATTAAACTGGACTAATATTTATTGATAAGAAACGCATGAAATCATATTTCCTTCTTCTTGTTCGTCTATCATCAGGCCGTCGTATTCTTAATAAACATATAGGTATCACATCTATCAACTCATATTACGTTAAAATAAATATTACATTCAACTTTTACTTCATAATCAGTTCAACATTGATCGTTAATCATTTTTACCATACCTACCAGGGATGAACAACTAATAAATTGTGAAGCATATTTATATTTGTTTTTTAAAAAAAATATAACATTTTCTAATTTAGTTTAAAAATATGATAGTCATCAAAAGGATGGTAAGTCGTGATTTTCGATATCTGTTTATCACACGTGCATCGTAGGGATTTAATTGTTCTCTATTTCTTAACGTACCGATCGATAAATTGATACAATAATGATGTTGAACACTGCAGACTCGAATTTATCGTTAAGTTGACTTTAGATTGAATCTTTCATTTTTTTTTTTAATGTTTACTTATCATACCAAAAAATTAACCTCTGTTGATTTTTGTGCCTCCAATGTTTATATTTATATTTTGTAAAATTTGGTAATTAAAATTAAAATGTAGGAAAGTCGATTTTGACTTATTGACGAATCCAAATCAGTTTTCTTCTAGAATCTATTTATCGATCGGTAAGTTTGAAAAAAAAAAACGTATGAGTACTTATGTTGTAGATGTGATAAAAAATAGAAGTATAAAACCATTGCTTGTAATCTCCTCGACCAATAAATAATATATTATAAATACGTTTATATAAAACTTATGTAATTTAAACAAAACAAAAATTAAAGTAACGTATACCAAAGGATGGATGATGAATTCATATCATTTATTGTTATGACTTGTATTATTTTAAGATCCACGAGAGTTTATGAAAAACGGCGCTTTTGTGACTTTTGTTCGTCCCATCACAATTTAATAACGTCCGTCGTTTATATTTGTTATCTCTTTGTAGCTCAACTTTACCGCACACTATTCTTACACGTTCACAATGTACAAAACAAGGTTTTTATTTTTAATTTAAAAACAAACATAAAGGCTTATCGTAAAAATCGTAAGACTTTACCGAACGTGAACGTTTCAAAATTACATCTACACTGCCAGATGAAATAAACACGCCACACAATAAATGCCTAAAAAGTGACTTTTGTTTGTCGACAAATATTCATCTGCTGTAAAAAATAATGTTTATAAACATTTAATAATTTGTTTTCGTATATGATTTTAAAACACGTAGATTATTTTTAATTTAATTTAAAATTATTCTACCATAAATAAATGCTAAATTCTATCTTAGATAATAATATAATAATGTTAAAAAAAAATATTTGCGTTTTTAAGCCAACTAATTTTTGATGAACATAAACATGTACTTTCTTATAAAATGTAAAATATAAAAAAAAAAATTTCGTTAAACTTGATAATAAATTACTGTCGGCGATTTAAGCTTTTTATTCGAATACTATCAACAAAATAGTACAAAATAATGAAAGTGAATAATATTAGTTTATTTTATATTGCTTTGAAAAACCATACTCCTTTCAAGTAAATTTTCGAGTTTAATAATTATTTATTAACGTTTTTAAGTTGACAACCATATTGCAATACTATCCTAAATCGAGGTAACTAATTAAGATTTACAAACCAAAATCAGTATTTGGACCTTGTCAGTCTAATTATTTATTCTAGTTCACATTATTAGTACCAGAAGACCATTTTTATTTGTATTTGAGCCCCGAGATACAATACTGTCACTAATTACATTAAAATTATGTACATTAATTGGAGCATTTGCATAATTGAAGTCTTTAATTTCTACATTTTTGTAGTCTATATTTAAAGCATGTAATTTGAGAATACTAAAATTAGGTTGAAAGTTGTAAATTCGATATCATTAATATATACTACTGTCTAGAATAATATAGTATTATATTACTATAAAATTCCACGAAAGATTTAATTTATAAATCCGGGAAATATTTTAACTCTAATAATACTAATCAATAATAATATACTACTAATATTTGTTACTAGCATTTCTTTAAAAATAATTACCAAGTTTACGAGAAAAAATTTTAAATTCCTGGTTCGCTTCATAGTATAAATATAAATATTCTAAATTGCTGTACATCACATTTTTAAGGTGTATGAATAACAAAGCCTTTTTCGAGTTGTGTGATCTTCAAAACTTACAAAAAGTATTTCTTGTAGTGTACGCTAGTTAGGTACTATAACAGTTCTGACTTCCGGAGTTTGTTCATATATTTTATACGTATTTATCACTGTCTCAGCCCATAATTTCCTGTCTACAAACAACTTTAATATTAAAACATTAATCAATATGGTATTTTTTTTTTTTTTTTTTTAATTTCAAAGCAAGTAATGATAGCGAAGTTACATTTAAAAAATAATATCCTACCATTTCTAGCACTTTTTTCTAGAAATTTAAAGAATATTATTATATTTATGATTTTGTGCCAACATACGAGTAGTATTATGGTAAGAATTTAATGATGATCCAAAATTGAATAAATTCATTCTACTCATATTTAAATTAAATTATATAAGAATGCAATTATAAAAATAAATTAATAACCTTATTTTTAATTAATAGTTGTCTGTTTTTATTTAATTTCTCGAAATTGAAGATCTAATTTTGTTAAATCATAATGAGTTAAAATTTAAGTCACGAACTTTAATTATATTATATGAAATAAAAAAAATTATAAAAAATGTTTTGTCTTTTATTTAGAGAGTTACACAATCTAAACTTTTTTTTTTATGAAACAAATACAAGTACAAGCTTACTTTCAGACTTGTCTTGAAAACAATTCATCTAACAATAGCAATATAGTATAATTAATTATGATATTATGTTGTCATAGTTATTAACTTACAAGTGTTGTGATACCAGTGGTAAATTTGAGAGGAGAGTAATTGAGATGATCTCCTCCCATAAATTGATATATTTATGTAGATATTTACTATAAATTTACTAAAATAAAATTACAAAAATTAATAAGAAACTTATAACTTAATAATTAGCAAGATTATCTTTTGTTGATTATTATTTTAAATAAATATTTTTTTTTTAGTTCTTATTTAATGTTTTATAGTTATTTTATGTAACTAATATCATACAATTTATAGAAAGGTTTCAAAAATTATATTATGTAAATTTAAAAATAAGTAAGTACATAAATTAGATGCAACAAATATTATTTTAACTAATAGGGCACGTCTAAGATTTTTCTGGAAAGGAGTTAAGAGAAATACAGACCCCACCCTTCTTGAGTGGGATTTTATTCACATCCCCTCCTTTCCCCATAGAGTTAATTCAGAAACAATGTGAAACTAAAGTAGGCCTTATAGAGTAATACCGGTATTATGAAGTTTTCATTTAATGGTATGATATCGCTAATCATAAACTATTTGAGTTTATTAAGATTGCCGGTAATTTATACAAAGGGATAATGAGAGACTTTGAATAAGTTAAATAAGTAAAAACCCGTCTTGTGCTCTTCTGTTATTATACTTTTCTGATCATATTTCGAATGTTCAACTTAGGAAATATAATTTAAGGCAATGCGTATTACTATTCGTAGTATGTTGAATATGTTAATTTAACCAAAATACTTGTCTTTTTTGGAAGTATCCTTCAACCGAATACCATAAATCGATAAATTCTATAACACTGGACATTCGTGTCTCCCTTTATTCTAATTCCAAAACGGTTTCGTAAACTGTCATAATTATTCTATTGTTTGTGTTTGTTTATTGTGCTGGTCAGTTAAATGTTAGCTATGTATGGCGGCTTATTGCATACGAAATGTCATATAATTTTAATTTATATAAATACATGCACCATTGATTATAGGTTTATACTTAATTCGAAACGTACACGTAATCAAATTTTACGTTTACGTTGCGGATCCTCAGAAAATGCTAAAAACTTGGTGGTATTAAAAAAGTATAGGTACCTTCATTTTTTCATGCAACTTGAACATGAACGTGTTCACTTTAAAATAATGAACATGAGAATTAACGAGTTTCTTTTTTTTATACACTAAACGTAAACTTGAATGTGAGTTCTATTTTTAAGTTCCGAACGCTGGTAGTATATATAAATTATAATTTATTGTGTTAATAGAATACTGAAATTAAGTATGTATTCGCTGAGAATGTATATTTATTTAATGTTTAATGAAATACAAATATAAGGCTACATAACGAAACGATTCAATGCACTATGAACGTATTAAATATTATAGGCCTGAGTTTTTCATTGAAATGAACGAACAAACAACCAAAAAATATAGATGTAAATATAATTTTTGTCCATTTGTATAAACCATACAAATTTTAACTATGAATCTCGAATCAATTTGGAGGACATTTTAAGGGTGTTGCGAAGTACCAAAAGATTTTTATAAGGTCAAAGTATCCTTGTTATCCAAGAAATTTCAGGAACCTGAGCTATACGGGGATAAAGTTGGAAATTACTGTTTGTTAATGTGATTATGATTTTGCAGAGCGATAACCAATACCTAGAGAACGCGCTGATCAACTTTTTAATTTATAAACAAATGATGAACAACAAAATGCAAGCCCGGACGGATTTGATTCGTGCACAAAAGAAGAGGAGTTACTGGAAGCAATGCGCTTTCAACGCAGTGTCTTGCTTCGGTTAGTCGCACGACGGCCATAAACAAATATTGTCTACAAGCCAAGAAATAACATTTACGATGTAACCGTTTAGCCCTTTATCTAACTATACAATGCTTATACTATATTACATTATCTACTAAAATAACCTCCAGATGTGTTTTATTTCGATTGCACATAATACTATGATAACAGTTACATATTATACAATAATTATATTATATTATTTACTATTTAGTGATGAGCGCGTCAAAACGTATAATGTTCGCGCGTATTGCAAAAACCAACAATTTATTAATTTATTCAAGTATATTTTACCAATAATATATTAAATTATGTATACATAATAATAATTGTAATGATAATAATAATATAAAAATATTACCCTTACGTTTATATTCCCTATACACACCGCAGCAAACATAAAATCATTATAATGATTTTAAATATTGATGTAAAATGGTTTGAATATAATAAACATTCGTTTTCATTTGTTATGTTACGTACACGCTTTCGGTATATTGATGTCATTGGCTTAACTGCTATGTATTTTCCTGTATACTACGTATATATAATACGAGTATGTACAAGCGGTTTCGAATCAGGTATGATACTTGTATACACAGGATACGGATCCCACCCACGGTGTTCAGACATGAATTTTATTACTTTTTCGTGATCGACCAACGATGTAGAGATGATATAATTCCCACGAACTCGACTAAAAAAAAAATCTCGCAAAAAACCTAAATATATCAACACTACGGGGGAATATTAATCCGTTTATAATAATAATGTAATACATCGATGACGCCCCATGCACGAGATCAAACCACAGCGCTCTAGGGCGCATTTCGCTTTATTTTTTTTCCTTTAATATTTATTTATTTATTTTTCATTATTAATTAGATGTCTCGAAAAGAGTAAGTTCATCCTCTTCATCAATAATTACATTGGTAGGTGTGAACGTCGATAACGCCGTGTATGAACTCAAACCGCATATGGTTTTTCGCAGAAATATAATTTCAATATTTGTTAAGGTTAAGTATAATAATAACCTTCACAATAAGAATAAATGTTTAATACTATCAACAAAAAAAAGCCCCTTGCTAAGTCATCCAACTATTACTGAATTCACATTAGGGAAGTGAAACAAACTTATTTCCTATTTATAATGATTTTAGAATAATTCTAAAATCATTATAAAAGCAAGTTTATATTCATTTATTTTTTGTACTAGAATTGTTGACCCCTGAATATAAATTTGCTTTTGTAAAATACTATTTCAAGTGTCAGGGGTGGCTCCAAGGGGGCCCTAGCCCCCCCCCCCCCCAAGCCCATACCGTATTTATAAAAGAATGTATATTGTTATCAAAAAATGCATATTATAATATGGACTATTATACGACACGCACAAATATGTAGATAGAGCCATAGAGGTGTTTACGATGTACCTGCTATCTATATTATGAAGAACCAATAAGACTATAAATACAAATAAACTATATTAATATAAAATATACTATGGTATGATAATATGATATTATTATTTTATAATATTCAAAACATGAATTGTATAGCACACATAACTGTACGGACTAAATTGTTGTTTCTTTTTGTTATGAAATTTTGTAAAATTATAACTTCCCCCCCCCCCAAACCAAGGCTCTGGAGCCGCCCCTATCAAGTATACATTAAACGAAAGTACTATATATTAATTATTATACCATTATAATTAACAGTTTAACAACATTAGATAAAAAATTGTTATTTAGTAATACAATTTGTGCAAACTACATATACATTTTTTAACACTTTCGAATATACAGTGTGTCCCATGAGTATCCACGGGAAATCAATATATTTAAACATAATTTTTTTTTACAATACTTAGTTTGGCAATTCAAATTTTTTTTTAAAAAAAATTCAAAAATTCAAAAAAAAATTTTTTTATGCATTTAAGAATTTTCAATTTTTATGATAGCCATTTTCTTGAGCATATTTTTCAAATTACGTCAAAAGGGATTGACTTTATGAAAATAATTCTTGATAATTTTGAAAAACATAAACTAATGTGGGAATATCTTGTTGGATTTTGTACCGATGGCGCTTCTGTTATGCTCGGGTCACGTTCAGGTTTAGCTACATTGATAAAACAAAAAAATCCTACCACATTAACAGCGCAATGTAATATACATCGTCAAGCATTGGCGTCCAAAACATTACTAAAAAACTAAGCTTTTGCAATGAAAACATCCAAACAGTTAGTCAATGCTGTTAAAAATAGTGCAATAAATACACGAGTTTTTCAAAAATTATGAGCAAATATAGACGCTGAGCATTGAAACATTACCATTTTATATTGAAACAAGATGGCTTTCAAAAGGAAATATGTTGGCACGTTTATTAGAGCTTCGAGAGAAGTTGAAGGTTTTTTTAATAGATAAAGATATAAACTATTTACATGAGCAAATTTCTGAGCCAAAAATTTAAATGCAAATTGCATATCTTGAGGATATATTTACCCATTTAAGTTTAAATTTCCAACTGCGAGGTTCTGGTAATGTTAAACTTGAAGGTTCTGCAAGTATTTTCGTATTTGAAGATAAAGTTCGCGCTTTTGTCTGTAAAATAAATCTTCGGATTGACAAAACTCAATTAAAAAATTATTCTGCATTTCCTACACTACGAATTCTTATTGATGACGAACACTACAAATATTTTACAGAAGATATTTAAAATAATGTATTAGAACACTTACCAATCCTTAAAGAGGAATTTACCAGATACATTCCCGAATTTGGTGTAGGAAACACTGATGCTTTTAAGAAGTTAATTCATAATTTTTTCACTGTCAAAGTTAAGAACTTCAAGACGAAATGCAAGAAGAATTAATAGAGCTTCAGAACGACAGAAACTTGAAAAGTTCATTTGAATATAATACAAACTTAGAAGAGTTTTGGTGTAAAAATTTATGGGATATCCAAATATTCGGCAAACAGCATTGCGTTTCCTCGTGATTTCTTCAACACATATTTATGCGAGCAAGGATTTTCTTCACTATTAACTATAAAAAATAAACATCGAAATCGCCTCAATCTAAGTGCTGAAATGCGACTTGCACAATGGCATACCTGTGGGGGGCAACAGGGGCATTTGCCCCTCCCCCCGAGAAGTTTTTTGATAACATAATACAAATTAATTGTTCAGCATAAATAATATAAATTATAAATATTTTTAATTTTTACTAATTTTAATCGTGTTTGATATCAAAAGTTTTTGATATCACTTATCGAAAAATATCAATATTCGACCGAATTGGGATTAGGAGTGATGGTCACATATAGTCACTATTTTATAATGTGGTTATCATTGATATCAAGTGATCAACATGAGTTTTAAATATTCAGTAATAATTTATAATAAAGTTTCAAATTATATTATAACCATAAAAAATTGTGCAATTAATTTATGCCACTCCCAAAAATTTTTCACAAGTACGCCACTGGACTTGCACTGAGCAACAGCATCGTTCCAAGAATTCCACAACTGGTAAAAAAAGCGCGCCCTAAAAAGTCACATTCATTGAGTATATAAATTTATTCTATTTTTTGTCATTAGACAAGTTTTTTAATATAAGTTCGTAAAATGTAACATTTGAATTTGTACCACCACTTTTTATTAAATTACATTTTTAAATATATAAGTTAAAATATTTTTCCATAACATATACTTTATTTCTGATTTTATTTTATAAAAATTATATACTAAAAAAGTATAAAAAAATTAGTGATATAAGGAGGGAGGATTGAAATCAGTTATAACGGTGAAAAATTTATAAAAGTGGTCCGTGCTTAATGTTGAGTTGGAAACCACTGCTCTATAGTTACATTCATTTTATTCTTCATAAAATACCCGAATTCTATATCACATTTCTAAGATTTTATTCGTGTGATTTTTGATTTTCAATTTGTTTTAGTATGACGTCTAAAACCATTAAAAGAAGATGTTGTAAAAACAACTCAATTTTATTTTGTTATATATGTGGTGAATATGTTATAATAAAACAACGAAATAACATAACAAATTTTGTTAAAAATGTATACCACGAATATTTTGGTATTAATTTAGGAGATCAAGATAAATCTTGGGCACCCCATATTATTTGTCGATCCTGTGTTGAAGGTTTGCGAAATTGAAAACAAGGTAAGCATTTATCAATGCCTTTTGGAGTACCAATGGTTTGGCGAGAACCAAAAAATCATATTGACGATTGCTATTTTTGTATGATTAATATTTGTGGTTATAATAATAAAAATAAATCAAAACTAATTTACCCAAATTTAACTACTGCTTTATGACCATTACTAAATGGCCCTGAATTACCAGTATCTATACCGTCAGAAACTTTTGAAACTATTTAAACTAAGATACTTCTATAGATTCCGATGACAATCTTAGTAATAATGATGAAGACTTTCAACTTGACACCACAGATGCTCCACAACTTTTCAATAAATTTGAATTAAATGATTTAATACGTAATTTAGCTCTTACTAAAGAGGCAGCTGATATTTTGTGTTCGAGATTTAAAGGAAAAAAATTACTTGCAAAAGGTACTAATTTTTATTGGTACAGGAATCGTGAAATGGAATTCAAACAATTTTTTTCAGGATATGGATCACTTTATTTTGTAATAATATTTCTGCATTAATTAAATATTTAGGTAAATATATTGATGTGAACGAATGGAGGTGGTTTATAGATTCATCTAAAAGAAGTCTAAAAGGTGTTTTACTTCATAACGGGAACCAGTTGGCGTCTATACCCATTGCACATTCTGTAAATTTAAAATAAATCTATGAAAACTTGCATTTACTGTTAGAAAAAGTTCAATATCCACTACATAAGTGGATTGTTTGTGGTGAATTATAAGTTTTGGGAATGTTATTAGGTCAATAAGGTAGCTATACTAAGTTTCCATGTTTTTTATTCGAATGGGACAGCAGAAATCGCATGAAACATTGGACGGTGAAAAAAGCCAAAAAGACAGAACTTAGAACTGGGAACTAAAAATATAATACGTCAAAATTTAATTAAACCACAAAAAGTTGTATTACCTCCTTTGCACATAAAGGTTGGAATAATGAAGCAATTTTTAAAGGCCCTTGATAAAAATGGACATTGGTTCCAATATCAATGCAATAAATTTCCTATATTATCTAAAAAAAAGTTCAAAGACAGTATATTTTACGGGCCACAAATCAGAATACTAATGAAAGATACAGATTTTCAAAATAGTATTACCACCGTAGAAAAAAATTCATGGATTAGTTTTAAAAGCGTGGTGTCGACATTTTTAAGTAATACGAAAGATCCAGATAATAAATCGATCGTAGTCGATTTACTGAAAATTTTACAAGTATTGGGCTGTAATATGAGCATAAAATTGCATTTTTTAAATTCGCATATTGATTATTTTTCGGAAAATTTGGGTTCATTAAGTGAAGAACAAAGTGAACGTTTTCATCAAGACATTAAAGAGATGGAAAGACGATATCAAGGTCGATGAAATGTTAATATGATGGCCGATTACTGCTGGTGTTTAAAACGTAAAACCGATAAACAAAGCTACAAAAGAAAATCAAATAAATTTAGTAAATTTTTACAATCCTGCAAAAAAGAAGAACCGAAAATAAGTTACTTTAACAATTATTTTTTTTTTTAATACTTTAAAAGTAAGAATTAAAATAAACAAATTTTTTTTTAAATAAATATGCTTAATAATATTTTGAATTTAACTTAATTTTATAAATTTAACTAATTTTGAATTTTACTTTGGTTAAATTTATAGCAATTAAAATATTTCAAATCAAATAATAACGTATATTATTTATATGTAAATGTTATACTACCTTGTAAATCGTAATTGTAAAAAACTAGACGTGATAGAGACAAACTAATTTCAGATTTAAATTATGCGCATTAAGATCTATATGGATCAGGTATTATTAAACAAACAACAAAATAAAAATAAATATCTCGGAGAACTGTGTTATATGTATAATTTAATACACAGATATTAAAAAAATAACATATTCGATTATAATATAATATATTAATATGTAAACACTATTCATAATAAAAACTGAACACGTTTAAATTGAGTAAATTAAAAATTCACATGGTGCTTAAATTTTTGATTTTACTGGCAAAAACTTAATTTTTAGATCATTGTCAAGGTCCCAGTTATTTGTTTCATTACAGAATAATGTTTAACATTATTCATAATCTACATTTTTCAAACATATCTGAACTTGTTGCACCACTTCAGCGTTCATATTTTTGTTGATTACATCTTCAGAAATGTAATTTATTATTTTTCATAAATTACTAAATAAGATAAAATATTAAAGTGATTGTAAATTACTTTCCCGATTAAGTAGTTAAATAAATAAATGCTGAACGCATTGACAATCCTCTTAGTGGAATTTGTTTTTACCTTTACGCATGAAAAATGCAGAATAGAAGAATGAGTTTATATTTTTTCCAGTAAATTTAAACTGCCATTTTACTATGCATAATAATATATGAAAAAATTACTGGGCATTTAGTTTTCTTACCACGTGGAAGCAGAGCATTCCATAACATCTAATGTTCTAGGTCAGAGTGGTCCAACTTTCATAAAAAGGGAAAACACAAATGGGATTCCGAGATATTTTTATCACTTAAAATAAACACGATTTGGGTCCCGGTGTTATTCGATAATACTCAAATTGGGTCCGGAGTGTTATTTGATAATACTCGAATTGGGTCCACGGTAATATCTTTATTAAATAGTTAGGAGCTCTAAGTCTAATGGTTAATGACTATTAACCCGAATCAGAAGGTACCTGATTCTAATCTCTTATCGTAACTAAACATTTTTATATTTTTTTTATCGAAAAATCGGAACTTTAATTTTAAAAATGTTAGGACTTTGCTCGTTACGTCTACCGGCACCACTCACAAACTCGACTACCCCTAAATGCCACTTTTCGGGGGGATGGAGCTTCGCTCCAAGGGGATTTATAGTCTAAGCCTAACATAGCTTTTGTACAAACCTTGATACTGTTGCGGATGGAATTATGCTTTATATGTGAACCTAAAACCTCGCTGCGCAAGAAAATCATATATCTAGACCACAAATATAAGGTATTATGCCAGTGGCGTATACAGGAATTATTTTCACTATGGACCAATTTACCCCCACCATAGTTACAACTAGAAATATTTTAGGGAACGGGTGGTTTTAATTATGATATAAATTATACAAATATAGGAATTTAAATGCATTAATATATATTTATTATTAAATTAGATACATAATAAATTAAGCATTTTTCTACGGTAGGTAGTAAACGTTTTTTGCCTTAAAACACAATTAGCCATAACCAGGACTCGGGACTTATAGCACTTAAAATCATTAAAATCAGCGCTTAAAAAAGCGTTTAAAAACATCATTATAAGCACTAAAATAAGCATTTAAAAAATTTAAAATTAAACAAAAATATTTATTCAAAAACAAAAAAAAAAAAAAACTATAAAATTCTAACTAAAAAATCAAATAAAATAAAAATAAATCTTTACTTTCAAGACTTTAAGGATTTTATGGATTTTTCTGAAAAATAAAATGTAAACTGTTCTTTCTGTTTTTGATCATTCTAACGTTTGACACTCAGTTCTATTTTCAGCGTTGGAATATCTTTGTTAACCCTACAACGATGCTTCGGGCGGCGACGAACTACATGACAACGTAGATAAGAAGAATTATTTTTATTTTTAATTTTATCAAAAATGCCTTTGCAGGAAAAAACTATAAAAATATTAAAAAAAAACTGGTCAAATACGCAAAAATAATTAGAAAAACTGAAAATAAGCATTTTTTTTAAAAATTGCTGAAAAGAGCAAAAAAAGCACTTTAAAATTTCATAATTATATGTGTTATAACTTGATATACACTTCTATAGCACTCTACTACATTTTAAGTCAATCCATAAAAATAAGCAAATACTTTAATTTCCGAGCCCTGGTCATGTCTGATACTGTTTGAGTGTCCATATTTTTCGTTAGTCACAACTAATTATTTTATTATTCGTGTGTATTTTGTAATTCGTATATATTTTTAATATTTTCTATACACTTATCATATAATGACTTGTGATGGGGAAATACTAATAAGTTAAGTGACAATAAGACCATCCATTTATGATTTTGGAGACAAGGACCAAGTTTTTATTTAACGGATATATGTTATAATTTAACATATTTTGTTTTTTTTATGATTCTGTTCCAAATTTTGTTAAATACCACATGCAAATCGAACCAATTCATCAGATGACATGATGATAACTGATTTTTATTTTGTCTTATAGTGTATACTTTATAAAAACAAATTGTTTTTAGTTGACTAAAACGAAAATGACTGACACTGTCCAACGCTGTTTTGCTCTTTTGGTGTGCGATCGGCATAAAACAATCGACAAAACAATTCCTAGCAACCCATGATAAATTGATAACATACAACAATATAAATATAGAAGTAAACAGAAATCCAATTCTAAAAATAGAACGCGTTATCAACATACTATCACAGATTATATGAATATAATTCATAAAGTCTGTGGTACCACCTATGTAAACCACGGTCTAAGGTTGCTAAGATATCTAGGTATAGTCCGTAATGTAAGTACCATAGACAGCTTTATTTGTCGTGTCCTTTCATAGTTACTCGTATTTTGATTGGTCATTGTAATCATAATCCATGGTATCAGTCATTAACGTGAATTTTATACCTCAAAAACAACATACATGGCATAGGACAACATTAATAATAGTATGTACGGGCCATGGTTTATATAAATATATAATTTTATAATTTAGCAATATGCATAATAATGTTTTAATTGAATCTGAAATTTCACTGTGGGCCCGGGCCGCATATTAACATGTTGTACATGTTAATAATAATTGCTACATGACCGTTGTTCTCTGATTGAACGATTCAAATTTGCCGCAAATGAAACAAGTACCTATTATAATAATGATTGTAATTTTATCACAATGAGTTATTGTTTTTACCATTACAATTTACAAAATTAATCTGTATTTACCGAAGTCGTTCATTAACAAAGTAGTAACTGAACTAGAATGTTATAAATATGTTATTCGATCAAACATTAAAACTAAAGAAGACTAATTTGTAAGTATAATGACAAGTTAGTAGTGAATAGATCACCTCATAATATTGCCTTACTAAAAATATATTACATACATATTTTCATAATAATTTAAACTTAACCTAATTTATAAGATTATTGTAACTACTATTATTAAATTATAAAAATTGAGTGTTAAATCCAAAGGCTGACTTATATTAATTGTAAATTATATAGTACCTAATGTCCCAGAATTATATTTTATGAACATTTGTGAATATTTACCCCCCTACCCCGTACCTATATATGCCACTGTATTATACTATAGCCATTGATTATAAATATTATAATATAATATATAAAAATATTATAAAATCAATGCTAAAACTAAACAATAATTCACAAAGCTATCATTTTATAACACGTAATAACGTAGACACGGTAGATTATTAAATATAGAAATATGGCTAAAACCATAAATTGATAGGGTAAAATAAATAAGAAATACTATCTATGATAATAATACGTATTTATCACTACATTATGACTAACTTAAACTAGTGTAACTTTGGAACCGAGTCATACCACCAAATTATAGACATATATATGTATATTACTCTTTGTAATAGATATAATAAAAATAAAATAATAAATTCAAGTACTTTTTTAATTTATTTATTCAATACTTATGATGATCAGCTTGATGCAATATTACTGCAATACTAGTGCTTACAGAATAAATTATACAGATTTCCAAATAAAACATAACAATCTACAAATTTAATCATTAATTTATAATATATAAATGTGTTTCTATAAGTTTATTGGAAAACCAGAGTAAAATATTTAATTGAAAACTATGAAATATTCTTTACTTAATGAGCAGCATCAATTTTTTTTTGTTCTTCAATTTTTGCATTTTCTTCCTCTGGTTCATCAAATACGTAATCAATATCTTGATGAGGCCAGAATGATGGTTTGTTTTCCAAATCTAATGTTAACTCGGGTTCAATGTAAGCAGCATCTTCATATGTCATTTGACTGTATGGCAGCATTTTACTAATTACTTCAACCCTATTTTCTGCTTGTTTAATTATTTTCTCCGATTCAATTTTAAACTGTTCAATGCCTTTTACCTATGAATAATAAAAAAATATATATTTAAAAAGATACTTATGTATTATACAACTTGGAGGCCAGTAATAAAAACAATTACAATTTCCTTTTCATGATTATCAATAGCCACAGTATATTTGTCTTCAGGGTATGGGATTTTAACTGCCCCATACAATTTTTCAAAGTTTTCAACTAGACCGGGTAGAGCAACTTTACTTTTGTACAGCGCCCAATCGATTTTTAGAGGTTCAGCTGGTAAAGTCAACATTCTAAAACCATACACCGAACATTAAGCATCATTCTACATTATAATTTTTACATTCATTGAGTTACAATATTCAAGTATAATAGTTAAAGGGCGTGTGGCCTTTAAATGACCTCAACATACTTGCGAAGGTATACATCAGACTTGGACTTGAAGGCCAAATAAGACGCTCTTTCGGTTTCTGGTATACGTTCAGCAATCGCGGCCCAGTTTACGCTGGATTGAGCAATACGTTTGCCTGACATTTTGAGATGAAAATCGAACGTAAGAATTGAAATACAAATGCACAAAAAAAGTCAAAGAGAAGACAGTGTGATTATGCGTAAAAATTGTATGGTGTTATCAAAGCAGCTGAACTGACGACAATTAATAGTCAGGTTGAACACTTTGCAAAAATAAAATATATAACTCATTTATTATCAAGGAGCTGGTACAGTTCTCCCGATTTTGATAACAACGAGTTATCACCAAAATCGAATTTCGGGAGATCGGTTATGCCAGCCTTAGAAAAATTAATTTCCCGTATTATATTAATAATTAAAAAAAGTTTTTTTTTACCTAGCCGACGTAACCAACATAAAATTACAAAATCCTTTTATAAAAAATAAAATATAAAAACCTAACTATCGCTTATCAATTATAACTACAGATTATCAATGCTAACTTTGCAAATTAACAGATTTGTGATATCGTCACTGCTACTGCTACTCATTGGATCACTGTGAAAAGTAGCAACGACTGATACTTTTTAACATCACTACTATGAGGCAACCTCTATTATCTATAAACCTTGTACTTACTGTATATCTTAAACTGTGATTGTAACACATCGAGATGGATAAAAAATACAATTTGTTTATCTATCTTGGTTGTAACATTAACTTAAACGTTGTAGTAAAACCATTATTATGTGTATTTTATATTTTCCTCACATATTGACAAATAAAACAACTATCGAGTTAAATTATATGATTACGATTTGATTATTTCATTTGATGATTTCCACCGCAAAAAATTATCACGAATAAAAAGTTTTTTATCCGTGAAAATTATGGAATGATTTCAATAATCATTAAATTACTACATAATCGAGATATATATAAATATCAGGGTTGAAACATATATACGATATAATATAAAACACGTATTATACGTATGTATAAAACAAGTAGTTTTATGTTTTATACTGTATATAACTAAAATCTCTTATTTCTCGTAAACAAAATTACATTTATAATTTAAACACAATAAAACTAGGAAATATAAATTATAGATAAACAGTTGTATTATCAATATGCGTATCTCACACACAATCAATTTCTTAAATATGAATTCATTAGGGAGGGGAAGGCAATCGCCCCTTCGCCCATGCTTACATGTTACATTATATTTTATTGTGTGTAGCCAATAGCTGTATACATAAATATTAAAAAATAATAGGTTTTAGTATCAGTTATTAAACACGTTTTGAATACTTAAAATATTTTAACTATTGTGTATTTTAAATACTATCTTATGGAAGAAAAGTATGAATTAAATTTAAAAAAGTATTACTTTTTGCTTATGTCCTAAATCAAAATTTTGTTTTATCTTTATTTATGCATATGACACTCGGCATGAAAAATTACATGAACATATTTATCGCCTATTGTATGAAAATATTAACATAATTTTATTCTTATTTTATAATAATTATTTATTAAGTTATGATAATAATAGAAGATAATTTTTTTTTTTTAACAATTTGTATGCAAAAAAAATTGAAATGTTTTATTCTTAAATCCTAAAAAATAAATGTATATAATATTAAGCAATTTCAACTTAAAAACATGAAAAATTAAAAATTAAAAGTAAACTACAATTATAAAATATATATGAATTAGGAAGCTGATGTTGTAGGCGTAGGACTTACAGGAGGTGAAGGGCTATCAATTTCAATAACTACTCCTTGCTCTGAACTGGTAACAGCTTGTTGTGGCTGTACTTGAAACTGTGGTTTTAAATCTACAACAGCAGCTGACTGTGCAGCATCAGCGGCCTGAGCCTCGTTTTCCTGTTTTTCTTTTTCATTATGTGGTTCCTCATCATCACTTAATGTTAAGTCAACAAAAGATGATTTCAAGTTTTCTGGCTCTTTAGAGCTTTCTGGTTTAGTTTCTTTTTTTAGTTCAACAGTTTCTTCATCACTATCATCTATATTAACTGAGTCTATAGGGGCTTCTTTAACTTCAGGAGACATTTCTGTATCTTTTTTCTCTTCATATATTCTCCATGTACCATCAGCTAATATTTCAATTTCTTTACTACTCTCAGAAAGATTAGGATTTGTAACCACTTCCAAAAAATAATTTTCAATTTGAATGTCATCATACACACAAGATTTATTACAAGTTGGGCATAACCATGTTGGTTTTTTTTCATTCATTAAAATATATATACTCGCGTCAAAGCATTGTAAATGATCACAATTAACAGATTTTGCAGGCATCTTCATTCTCATCTTTCCCAAGGGACACAACAGAGAAAAACGATAAGATGTAGTAGCTAAATCAGGATCAACATCAGCCAACTTTTTGATAATATAGTCTTTTGTTTCCTTAGAACTTCTGGCCCCTTTCTCTATAAGTCTCTCCAACAAAACTTCTGAACTCAATTTTTTTACAAAGTTCAATCCAAAAACATAATTCTTCCCATCTGGAGTCCAATTTACGACAATTGTATTAGCAATACTTGGATTAAGTTTGAGACCATGAGAAATACTGATAGGTCTTGGTGATCGTCTAGCTTCAGTTCCTGGTCGAACATTAGGAGCAGATGGTGGTAACTGACAAGCTTTATTATTTATTCGAATGTGAAGTCCAAGAGGCAAAAAATCAGTTATTTCAGTAGCTCCTGGCTCAAGAAGACAGATTCGAATTTGTACTAAATAAATATATTCAACTTTTGATAGATTTGAAACATCACGATTCATTCCAATTAGAGTTGCTTGCTCAGGAGACAAGATAAATTTGAATACTGCTTCTCTCATACCTGCAAATAAAGTCAACATAAAATAACTCATGATTTCAACATGCTTATATAATAATGTTATACAATTTTACCTCTTGTTACATTTTGCAATGAACATCTCTCTTGGCCAATTAGAATGGTTGGCTTAATTATTTCCCCAATTATTTCATAAAATGGTAATTTCTTTAACTTGATATTGGCTAGAGATTGAACGGGTGGTGGTCCACCCAAAGAATTATTGTTCCCAGGATTTAATGCATTCAAATCAAATCCCATTGGATCTGCTGTAGCTACATGCATTGACTGATTTATTGGTGCTTGACTTATTATTCTACGAGGAGCATTTTGCTGATAACCGTACGGGTAATTATTGTTTCCATACATGCTTCTTTGAACTTGGGGCATAGCTTGGGGTAAACCAGCTCGCGCCATATGTATTGTTGATTGGTTATACTGTGGAGGAGGTGGAAAAAATCTTTGTTGATTATCCTGCACACCCATATTCATCATATTAGCTCGTTGCATTGCATTTTGCATTATATTAGAATTTGGTACATCAATTTGCATAGAACGATAAATCTCAGAAATTTTTGCTAAATATGCTTGAAAATTAAAGGTCAATGGTCTATTCCGTAATAAATCAAGTGCACGATCTTTCAACTCAGCTTTTCGTCCAGCTTTATTACGACCAAATGCACCTAATAAGTTTTGTAAATCATTAGTCCGAAAACAGGCCAGCATTTGTCTATATGTTTCTTCGTTGTAATTGATATTCATTGTAGAAATCTTCTAAAAATAATAAAATTATTTAGTATTATTCTGATTTAAATGTACAGTCAAATTTGCTAAAAACAATCTAGAGACCTAGAAAATCAGATTATTACAATTAAACTTTTTGATATCCAACCAAATACTTTGCTAAAATTGAAAGAAATCCTAATAAGTGGATTGGACTGTATTTTATAAAATGTTTAAATTCAACTTCACAAGGTTCATTTTTATTATCAATAAACAGTTTTAAAAAAATTGAACAAATTAATGAATCACGCAAGATTAAAAAACACATACATTCTAGGCAGGTTTTCATTTTTTATGATTCATCTAAATAATTTACAATAGAAAAATTGTTTGAACGTCTAAATAAAAAAAAATAATAAATTAACTTTGTCGGTATTACAAAAAAAGTTTAACTAGTTGCATATCCTTCTACCACTTGTTTTGACTTAAATTTTTATCACATAATTAATACAACAAAAACTTACATTTATTCTTGTACTTTAATTTGAATGTGAATAATCAACTTTACTAAATTGTATTTATTTGTATTTGATCTTAAATTTATGAAACATCCAACAATTCATTAATGGTTGGAGGATAACCAACAACTTTAAAACTGGTTACAGTACATGTTGTATATTCATATTTTAGTACATAATATATAATTTTTTCATTTTAAAAGAAGAAATAAATACCTGGGAAGGATTTTCTTTATAAATTGCAGTACACAGCAAATTCAAAACAACACACCATACGTAATATATTCTCTCTGAATATCAATTAATATCAATGAATTTTAATAAATATGTGACAGTTGTAATAAACTGTTCTGAGGGTAATAGATTCAATACACAATAACGGTTGATCATGTCCACAAATCACTTTCAAAACCAGGTGCCATCACTAAGAATATGACCAAACATAATTGGATGGTGATAATAATAACAAGCCGACCACTATAGATAAAGTGATATCAAGTATCCATCATTATTATTTACCACGGACCACGGACTAAGATATCTTAGTCCGTGTTATTTACCTTCGGTTAGAAATTACAGTGTGAAAAACATAACATAAAATAATAATATTATTTTTAAATTTTATACTTCTCGACACGGACTAAGATAATTATCTCAATTCGTGCTTCTCGAGTTCTTGTTTACTAAATTATTTGAAATTACAAATCACAATAATCCATTATTTTCCTTATTATTAATACGAAATTTAAATCCCATGACAGGCAATGTTAAAATTAATTGAAATATAAATCAAAATATCCTTTTCTGAATAACATGAATTTTATTGTAATTTTTTTTTTTTGCAATAAACTAAAACACTAATTTTTACGCATGGATTAATTATTTTATGTAAAATCTTTTTTGATAAAAGAAAAAAAAATTATACCGATTAATTTAATTATTTATAGGTATTTAATAATACATGAAATAAATATATAAGGAAAAATACTTTATATACCCTATTATCAGAGCCGCAACTAGAATGAGGCGAGAAAGTCACTTGCTTTGGGCGTCTGAAGCCAAAGGGCTCAAAAATATTAAATGTTTAACTTAAGAAAAAGTATTAATTATTGTATAGTATTGTATAATTGACAATATTATAATTAAATGTATTGGATTACTACGCACCGATCCATAAACGCAATAATATATTTTCAATATAAAAGATATTTCTTCATTATTTAATCCATTATAACTTTACAATTATTGAATTATTTTAGTATTTATTATTATTATTATAGTTTTATATTATTTTCAGATTTTTCCGAATCGAATTATACCCTACAATCTAGGGGACGCATTACTTTAGTTCTACCTCAAGATAAAAAATGGCTTGGTACGGCTTTGCTTATTATACTTTTCATATCTTTTCATATACTCACACAAAGGATAGTTTGTAGGATTCCTAGTAGTGATCAAAGCGGTGGTAAATATTTTTTGAAAGAAATTCAAAGACAGTGCACACTGTTTGCAACTGTACCTATACTTCGAAATGATGGGTTTGAATTATACCAATGGTGTGTCTCATAAGCTTCAAGACTATTCCAGTAATGCGACCAGTTGCGAACTGTGCAAGTACAACTTGTTTAACATTATTATATAGAGAGTTTTGAATGTTTCAAACGTTATTTGTTAGTTCAATTGAAAGTTAGATTGAAGAAATCATGTAGAAAACATTAAATGCAATACTTTATCTTAGTCATATTTTTACGGTTAGCTATGGAGTTCGATGCAATTTCAATAATAAGAAATGGATGTTTTTCCGGGGGCACATTAAATTGTTTTCAAAAGTGTATAATTATACATTTTTCATGCCTTTTCAAATTGCCACGATACAGTAATCAACGGAGAATTTCAAGGTAAGTAAACTTTCATGAATTAGACGTAATTTCCTATAAAACTTATTCTTATAACGTTCTTTGTTCAACCAAAACTATTCTTTCCATTATGAGGACTAATAATATAAGTAATTTTACTCGAAAACGCATATTACTCATAAAGTCATTATATTTTTACCCAGTTGTCAACAAACAGTTCTATATAAACAGCATTTGAATAAATTTGATCCGTTGTTAATTACCAAAGTAACTTCTTCGTCACACATTTTTAAGTTTTAAATCTGTTGAAGCTGTATAAATAAAGAATTTCAATTAAATATTATATTTATAATAATACGTACTTGGAAAATATAACTATACTAGAGTAAATACTTATTTTAAACAACAAATTTTGTTAAAAACAAATGAAAACTACAAATGATGACTAATAACCAGTTATATATTATGTTCACAAAGAAAAATTAAATTTAAAACTAAAGGCAATAAATATTTTCAGCTAAAATAACTATAAAAACTAGTAAGCATCTAAAAAATCACTGACAGTTTGTACAACTCATCGGTCATAGCAATCCACGGACACGAAATTTAATGAAGATGGTATAATACTGTAGATATGGTAGTACCGTAGATACCGATGGTATGGTGCCGTAGAAGTGCCATACTTGGGACAAGTAATGGGCGTTTACATGATAAATCAACTACATCGCAAACGGACGTGCTGCAGTGGTACCACTCATGCAATAACACTCATACAATTCTGCCTCAAATAACACAACTCGACATTTTAAGTTGAATTAAAACATAAAATGATTAATAAAAGGATAATTTTCAGTTATCTTATGGCTTGTAAATTATTAAATTTGTAAGAAAGTGACAAAACTTAAAATTGTTCTCAAAAAAACAGAAATTTTAAATTATAGAGTAATAAATAATAATTGACAATGTAACAACATTGACAATGTACTCAACAGCCCAGCCATAAATTAAATATATAATAGTCAATATTAATAAATGCATAATTTAAGAAATATTAATTACATTCATGATTGCTTAATAATTTATAACTAAATATTATTTTTACATAACTATAATAAAATTATTCATAAAAAATTGTTTATACTAACCGGCATTTTCTAATTAAGTAAAGAGCACAACACCAAATTGTATACAAAAAAATAAATATTTTGAAACTTACACACTTTGTCAATAGTCAACTAATAATTCACATGGAAATCACAAAAACAGCAACTAGAGGCCAGGATAACCTAACTCTTAAGGAATGTGAAAGGTCAGAACCTAAACAATGCAACCCCCACTCGTAAGGCATGAGCAGGTAGTTAGTATGAATTTCAATGTTGGCGCCCGGTAGGAATCAGGACATTTTTTTTTGTCATCTTCCAAACGAAATTTCATACCTGCACTGCGGTCACACTGATTTAAGATAATATTCATAGTTTTTGTTTACGAGCCGAATGAGCTATCTGTTTTCAAATAGTCTGTTAATGTACTAAAAGAGCAAAAAAATATAATTTAGCGCTAACAATTACAATTGTGTATACAACTGGTTATAAACCAAGGTTAAGATTTTCTATTTTTAAATTTATGTATATGGTATTTACAATTGAAAACAATAATTTGAGGATTACAGTAAACCGACAGCACTCTATGCGAGCCACGTAATTTTCAAATATGTATATAAGCCCAGAGCAATGGCGGCGTGACGGCAGATTTTTGAGTTCCTGGACTTAAGTTAGTGGGTGGGTATTGACCATTGGGTATCGAGTGGTATGTAGCATGTAGAACGAATAGTGGGAGGAGCTCTTTTTACAAACTACCCTTACATTTCTGTTTAGGTGGTTGGGTGGGTGTACAAAATCCTAACAGGACTCATGAAATAAAATATTTCGTGCCACCACTGGCCCAGAGTACTTTATAGCAGTGCTATCAGTGTTACGAAAAAAAAATTGTATGAGAAATTATAGAATTTTAACCGGGCATCACTGACGTAATATTAAAATATTTTAATACAATAATTATAGTAATAAGTATTGTACAATAATTTCATTTCTCGTATGTGGTAACTTGCACGTATGACGTGGCTCTAGACCGGTAAATTCAGAAGTGGACCATTTGGTTTTATTTAATCTGTGATCGTATTGTTAATTTATACTGTACACTTTAGATTGATTTTATTTTATTAAAATTCTTATTTTTATAAATTCCAATATTAATGGTTTTAAATTGTCAAAAGCTTCAATTTTAAGGTATAAAAATAAAATGTTTAAATTATGATAAGGAATGATATGATTACATATTGTGATTTAGTGATTGATTACATGTTAGATCGATTAAATAAGTAATAAATATTATTTAATTAAAATCAATATCTTTAATTGTGCTAATTTATTACCAGATAGTAATATTAGAGACTATATGAAAACAGATGGTTCACTCTACCGAAATCAATGACAAAAAAAGCCTTTTTGATTGGGTGCAACCAAATCAATATAGTTACATGAGTTCATCTAAATTATTGATGTTCGGCATATAGCCTAAACAGTGATTTACGTTATGTTAATTTTTTGACTAACTTCTAAGCAAATAAATTTTTTGTTTGATTCAAAAAGAAAAAAAAATGTAAATTGAGTGTTTAAGTTTTGATGTTCGCATACACATACGAGACAATTTGTACGATTGGCTGTACGTTTGGACATTTACAAAAAATTTAATTGCTTATGAATTATGAATAGCATGAAAGACAGCAGCCGTTGTTTATTTTTTTAATTTCAGCGCTAATGCTCAGCCGCCGCCGTCGGTCGTGATCATAACCAAATTATGATCATAATTAGGGACCGAATTTATATGCAAATGCATATATGTATTAGAATAAGCTTTTTGAAATCTGATGAGCATTGTCCCCGATTTAGATCTTTCTTATTAAAATAACACTAATTTAATTTTGCATGTTTTGCATATTTCAACGTTTTTACCTATTAAATGCATATTCAATGCATATTTGTAGTTTTATAGTGCATATTATTATTAATAGCACATATATTCGTTTTCGTCGTATTTTCACGTTCAAAGCCACATAATATCGATAAAATTGCGACCGGTCGTTATTTTCAAAAATAAGATTACTTACTCATATCTCATATTATAGTTATATACACAACATATATATATATATATATATATATGTATAAAAATAATATATAATTCAAGTGTCGACTTGACGAAAAAATATTTTTAAAGCTTTTTTACACTTTTTTTAATACCGTATTAATTAATACTTATTTTTACATTTATAATACATTTCACATATTTGTACATAATTTTAAACAACATTTTAAGTGAATATTTAAGTACATATTTAAAAATAAATATATATTTTTTAGCATATTACAGCATTTTTAAAAACATATTTTGAGGATTGTTTGTGTATATAAATCCAGTCCCTAGTCATAATATAAAGGAGACTATTACGTCTGGTGGTGAGTCTTATCCTCCGAAAAAATTTTTATTTTTAATTCAGATTAAGTAATTTTTAATAATTATTAATTAAAATAAGTATAGTATATTTATACGTACATTG